TTGTACCTGCCTCCTCTGAATTAAAAAGACACATATGTGTTTTCTGCACGAAGGATTAAAAATCAATGAATAGAGCAGGGAGAAACAACCAGAGAAGATTCATTCGGTAGGAATTAGGATTTAACATGAAAGCTACGACTAAAAACAGTGAAAAACAACGAAAACTGGCCAAATGATGAATAAAAGCTTATTGGATTCCACAGAAATTTAGTTAGAACTGGTCAAGTAATTGCTACCTAAAAGACAGCTCCGCCATTAGAAGCTACTACTTAGCCAACAATAATCATCGCAGTTGAACGAGTCAATTAAATTGGACGTTAGATGATAAGAAGCTAATCACAACACGATAAGCATTTAAATACAGATTAAAAGACTTAAAGACAATCCAGAAGAACTAAAAGTGAGCCGGACTGAGTGCTGATATCTGCCCAAAAGCTAAGATGTGCTACAGCTAAACTAAATAAATGTAAACAAATATTAAAACGACAATGGCTAATTCTCGGGCTAATGAGCCACGACATACTTTAAGTGATCATTTGAAGTTAGCTGCGAAAACTTTAACAGCACTGTGTGTGTATGAGAGTGTGTGTGAGAGAGAGAGAGAGAGAGGGGAATCGACCGAGAGAGACTGAGACCTGTGTTTTATTCAGAGGTTTCTTTTGAAATTCTAAATTGATGCAGCAGCACCCTGCTGTCCTGCACACAGCAATAGCATCTGTTTCCATTTAACTTTCCGTTTGAAACCTAATTTTGTGGACCTCTTTAAGACACCCGGAGGGTGCTGGCAGCACGTGGTAGAGCGGAAGTTTGAAAAAGGACGAGAGCAGAAAAAAAGGAAACAGCAGAAAGAGAGAGAGAGAGAGAGAGAGAGAGAGAATGGCTGCCGTATGGCGCAATACAAATACAGAATTCAGCAACTTCACAAAAGATCGAGATAAAAAAAAGGCAGATAGCAGTGGGAGGCTACGATAGCTGAAGAATATATTCATTTCTAGACTTAGGACTTTCCCTCCCTGAAAACTGGAGCTCATATGGACGGACATGACCTGATGATTCAATGCTGCCTTCACTACTGAGTTTAAATTTTGGGAATTTCGTTAGCAGCTAGCGATTAACTAAACGCTTTTGTTCTGCTGTTTGAAATCTTCACTACTGAGTTTAAATGTTGGGAATTTCGTTTATGCAGATTTACTTAATGACTGACTGTGCACAAACAACAGGAGCAGATTAACAGCTAGCGATTAGCTAAACGCTTTTGTTCTGCTGTTTGAAGCATTAATTTTGTTTAAGATCTGTGGGATCTTACCAGAGATGTCTGATTTAACTTTTTGCAGATATCTGATAGGCCGATATTGTCCAAACACTTAATTTCCAATTCCGATATTGGAACCTGTACCTATACAGATATATGCACACACATCGTGTGCAGTGTCACAATGACAAGAATTCACTTACACTTCAAATCTTTTTTTTGGTCACATCATCTGATGGAAAACCCATATATATATATACTGTATACACACACACACACACACATATGTACAGTGTATATATAAATATAGATATACAGTATATAAATATATATGTATACATACATATATACACATACAAATATATACTGTATATCCCTAGTTATCTATATATATTAATCTAATATATAGCTAATATAATTGATATTTATCTATTCATATTAGTTATATATCTATCCTTTATCGCCTCAACCTGCTGCTTCTTCTATATTTTAAATTGGTTAAATTGATTGCTGTCCGGCAGCTTAACACGTGACTCATTACTCACCTGTTCTTGTTGCTGGAGATCCAGTCAGAGATGTACGCCACAGCCTGGCGGTGGCACTGTTTGTTTCCGAAGCTGCAGGCTAACATGATTAGCTCTCGCTGTAGCTCCCTGGACACATGTGCAGAGAATAACCAATACATCAGTCAAAGCCTCTGTGTGTGCTCAGGGTCCTTGCGTTTGACTTGGTGAGCTTTCATACTCTGTCTGGTAGGATGCCTGCATAACGTTGCCTTCATTGCTGCCGCCGTTTGTTGGCCAACCCATCTGATGGTACCGAGCTGCAACCTGCTTCAACACATAATCCTGTAAAAGAAAAAAGACTGTTTTTTTTTTTCATTTTTTAAATTCACATGTTTTAAATTTGATAACAGATTGACTAAATGACAGATTACACTGAACAAGCTGTATTCTTCAGTGCGGTCCAGCAGTTTGTCTAGTTGATAAAGGGCTCGGCTGGCGGCGTGCCACGGCAGGAAGGACGGCTCCTCTGGAAGGTAGCCAATCAGCTGTAACGGAATTCCCTGGGGGAGGTACCCGGCCCTGAAAGAGAATTTTTTTTTTTCGTTTTTAACACAAACCGTATTCTTAGGCTTCTCTGAGCTCAAAGATTCAAATATCATCTCTACTACTCTTCTCTCACGCCTTCAATAAAAAGTTATATTTTAATTTCAGCCTTTAAAAAAAACAAACAGATTTTGACAAATGTCTGCAGGACAATAGTGTTTTCCAGATTAACATAAAAAAAAGTCATGTTGTACGTTGCTCAGTGAGACATTACCATAATCCACACACCCCACAGAGACTTCCCGTTTACAGCTCTCTCTTTACAGCTGATGAGGACTGAACACAGTAAGAGGATGGTCACCATGGCAACAGCATCCAGCAGTTGATCAACTTGGAGTTAAAATGTATTTCTATGTTTGTTGCAATTTTTCTGCTGTTTTCTGACACTAAACAAGACAGAAATGACTTCTTTTCAAATGTTTTCCACATGGATGCTAGTTATTAAGCTATATTTTTGTACTTTGGATAAATAAACCAAAATATCACTGAGGATGTGTAGGGTATGATAGGAAACATTGTTAGTTGAAGGAGTTACGAAACCATCGCTTAAGCGGCTCAATTGTTAATTCATTTCATCTAACCAGACTGAAGTCTGCTGTTTCTCCAGAATGTGTTCTACTCATATGTTCCAGTAGTCGTTTACTTCACTGTTAGACATTTTAACAGACATGTAAAGTTTGTTATAATATCGGCATTAATGTGGGCCTGATCCGATGGCTCGGCGGGCCGGATTTGGCCCACGGGCCAATAGTTGTTGGTCAATAAGTAATGTTAAAAACCTTTATTTTTTGGTAGAAATTATGTGAAAATGAAAGGATTTAACTGATAAAACCAACACAAGGTCAGGTTTAATATTCTGTTAAAAATGAGTTAGCAATTTGTTTTGCTGTTTAGAAAGATTTTCGAATGAATCAAAACATAATTGTAAGAAACATGTTCACCAAAATGGGGTCATTATTTACAACACAGATTTTAATAAGAGTCAAGATGAAGTTTGGCAACAAAAATGTCAAAAGTTGAATGCATTTTAATTTTCAGTTGTTGAAGTAAGTTAAGGGTAAAATCTCCCTGGTGTTCCAGGTACTTCAGATCCATCTGTTCGATGGTTCCAAGACCAGACTGTCCCTACCAATTATGGTTTCTGCTGATCAGACCTGAGGCTAATTGACTCATACTGAGCCCGTAATGAGGTATGTAGGCAGCAGGGGGCGCTAACAGGGCTGTGAAATGAAACCATTAACTCTGTAATGTCGTTAAGGGCCAGTTAATTGTTTGTCCATTAGCCATTAGCTAGGCTGAGTGGAGAGCTAACGAGGACACGCACACACACGAACACGCACACGTACACCCACCGACACGAATACCCACACTTAATGACACGCACACAGGCACACTCACTGAATGACAGAGGCGACATCCATCACTGTTTAAGCACACACTCAGAAAGACACAGTCATTTATTACTGGAAAACTGGCTCAACACACACACACACACACACTCACACACACACAGACAGGCAGCAATCGAAGTGTAAACAGCGGGAGAATGAACGAGGCTGAAATTAATTCTGAGTTAAAGATCCTTCAAAGTGTAACAAATTCACAGAAGCGCCGATGAAGAAAATGCTGAAACAACACATCTGTAAATAAACGAGGCTCCTGTTGCTTTAAAATCCGCCCGAGCTGCACATTCCTCCTCTCAACCGCCGCGCCAGACACTCCGATTGAAAACCCCCGAACGTCGGAAATAAATGAAACTTCGCCGTCGCAAAATAAACGGAATCGAAGCTTTGAGATTTGTGATTGGATTTAAGCCCAAGGGGCCAAAGTTTTATCAGAGCCGACGCAGACTCGATACTGGGGAAAACACTCTCAGGGCCCAATGATTCTCCTGTAATTCTCAAGACTAAAATCCAATCAGGTACTAATGCTCCAGCAACTTTATTTAGTGCTTAAACACATTTGTTTAATTAATTCCCGACTCCTAGTGGAAAAGTTTCTACTAAACAGCAACATTTTATTTTTCATGTATTAGGGGAGGAATTATTCAAAAAAGGTGAAAAAAAGCATCAAAATTGTCAAGAAATAATAAGTAAAGCTCATAATCACCATGTATACTGAAATAGGTAAATGGCTAGAATGGCTTATCAAAAGTTAATACATCTTTGTCAAATGACAATGAAACAAAGCTATAAGTTGGGGAAAAAAATTACACTGAAAAAACTCCAAAATATGTCTAAATGGTAAAAAAGCTTAAGGATATGAAAAAAATCTGATATAAAGATACATGTCACTCTGAAATAGTTTTTTAAAAGTTGCCATTGAAAACTTCGAGTCAGCTTTTCAAAAGTCGGTTTAGCTGCAAACTCAGTTAACAGTAAAAATAAACAACCCACCGGAAATAAATGGGAAAATTCCACAAACTCAACAACAATATGAAATAAAATGAATTGAAATTAGTCAGGTCAACAGGTCAGTATTATAGTCATCGCATCACTGACTTAACCTCTACACATATTTTCAGCAAATAAAAAAAACTGAACTTAAGGTAGTATCTAAAATTTGGAATTGAACCCCCGACCTCCTGGCTGGCAAACTCTATTGCCATAACTTTGAAAAAGTCAATGATAACAACATCGTAAAAGCGTTGGAGTTTGATTTAAACTCAGATTATTTACTTCATACTTCTATAATTTTGTTTCCAAGCAGATGAAATAAAACAGAGTCAAAGACCAGATGTTCAGATGAAATAAATCTTTTTTTTTTTTTTTTCTACTGAAACCCCATCGATTGCCCGCTCCTTATCGTCAACACGCAACGAAGAACAAGAGATGACAGAACAGCTGTTGGCGGCTGGGACTGGATCAGTAACACAGGGAACAGATGGGCGAGACGTAGAGAGGGATACCAAAAAAGAAAAGAGAGAGAGAGACAGAGAAAGCGGGATTGAGTTATAGTGCTGATGTCAGAGTAGATTTTGGTTACAGTGCTTTAAAAGCTGCAGGCTGAAAACATCTCGATGAGAAACGACTCTCTCCTCCGCTGCTCCCGCCCTCTATGGCAGCCACCCATCATCATCATCCATCACCGAGTTTCCCTGAATCCTGAATCCATCCTTAAATTGTGGTGTGACGTCGGCGGTGACACCTGAATGGATGTGAACCTGTGACGTTACGGGACTAAAAGTTGTCCGAGAGATCATTTCGATAATTATTTATTTATACCGGAAACATTCAAGCTTTTCTTTGGGGGATTCAGATTGGTGGATAAAATCAAATCTAAAAAGTAAAAAAGGAAACATCCCGTCCTCTCCTGACACTTTGTACTTGGTCTCTTCTTTTAATACAATGTATCTAGTGCAGAACAAATGCTCTTCTGAAGACAAATGTAACTGAAAATAAAAA